CACCGTCGTTCTGCTGTAACCCTATGTGCGGCGTTGTGATAGGTCAAGTCGGACTCATGCAATTGATTGAACACGTTTCTAGCGCCAAGAAATCTAATTCTATAGGGCGGAATGGAATTCCGACTGTAAGGTTACATGGCAGATGAAACATATCGTGTGCTATGGTTCAATTCGATGGACATAATATTTTAGCGTCCGTTCGCTACACTACGCACCCTTGGCTCATGCATTGGTAGATCCGTGGCTCTGAATCTCGACCTGAGGCTTCCCACATTTACCTGCTTACATTACCGCCAGTGAAAGAAGTTCACGATGTTACACACGCAACTGGCATACTTGACCACCAGTCAATGATCCACAACTATATGTATCATTCTCCATGTGAAATATGTGGTCATTGTCCTGCAGCGTGGTCTTGGGCGGGCATTGGTCACTGAATAAGGTATTTTCCTCTCTTTCCATGCCTTGTTATAAGAGCCACTACCTGTCTCATACCCTTTCTCCGCATTACAACGAGCCTGAGTATGAATCGGCTTTGATTTTAACCCGTCAAAGCTGCATTGCCAATAGTCTAATTAATGTAAAGCTATTGTGTAGCGGATTGACTTGGTCTTACTCATTGAAAGGGAAGCAATAGCTGTATCTTGAATATTGTAACGCCTATTGGTGGCCCTCTACCTTTCTGATAACAATTCCATGTATCAGCTTTTTTCTTCTTTGTCATTACATTCAGCGTAGAACACTTTGCTTCCACCTCCCACAGGCCTCTGCGCTCTGTTTTGTATGTATTGAAAGTGACGGAGACTATCTCCGAAATCAGTCCCACAGCTTGAGCCCCACTCAGACCAGTGGCCCCATCCACTTGTTCCTACTTGAAGGATTCGGTTGTCGTATTGCCATCGGCAGGTATCAATGGACCTTGCTAGCTCCGAATCCTTCTGTTTATGGACAGTGAAATTCATTGGTCGCTAGTTGGAATAGTTGTAAATCAAGAACGTGCTTGAGTCGCCGTGACCGTGCGTTGACTAACGGGACCCCGAAAACGATCAAAAATATCTGATATTGGTTGACATCTGGAACATCTCACTCCCCACCAACGGAGTTGCTATCCGTTGGTACAAGCTTCTGACCCCCAGCTAGGCAGCCGAGAACACACCCACTGAGGTGCCTTCCTGAGGTGGACTCTTCAGCCAACTCCTCCACAGGCGACCGGGTCCAGGGTTGCGGCCCGAGGCTATGACTGGGGTTGGGCTTCTAAATTCACCGGCTGAACCGGTGTCTCTGACTCGAAGGACCCTGCGGTGCTCTCGAGACCGCAGACCCGGATCCTCTCCGTGATAATCACGTCCAATCCGAGCAACGGCGTGGAGCTTAGGCGGTGTCTACGCCCTGTCTGTCAACGGTCGGCAGCGGGGCGGAGAGATGGCGATGATCGCACGATGGAAGGGTTCAAGCTCCATCGTGCGATCCCCATTGAATCCTTCGCGACAAGGCTCGTGATGATATCTGCGGCGGTGACAGCGAGCTGTTCGTCTTCTTGAGATTTTGGTATAAAGAGGTCTTCAGGCTCCGATAACAGACCAACATCTACTTGTCATCCTTATACACATTCATCTCTACCCGTCTCAATCTCCACTACTCGCAACCTTTCATCCCTAACAGCCAAATTCCTTGCAAAATGCTCGCCAACAACATCATCGGTACCCTTGTCCTTGGCTTCGCTGCCACCGTCTCAGCAGCCAACAACAAGGCGAACGAGTACAAGAGCGGCAATTGGTAAGTCAACATCCCATTCAGCCTTATGATAGCCCTCGTCACCCGGCCCTTCTGCGCGCATTTCCGCGCCCTCTGTCAATCTCCGCACAGCCTTCTAGGAATGATACACTGACATCTCATGACTAGCTCTGGATCGCTCAACTACGGACACACCGGCGTCAAGCTCGCCACTGTCACCATGGACGACTCCTCCCACTCCGTCTACCTGGCTACTGGCGCTACCTACGGACCCTGGCTTGCGTACGAGGGCAAGACCAGCAATGGCGGCTCTTGCACCGGTGCCTACCTCGGCGACCTGCCTGGCGAGTGCGTCAACCTCGACAACCACTTCTCCGGTCGCCGCATTCGTTGCGTCGCCAAGACTCTTGTTTGAAAGGTTATTCACGAAGAAGAACATTGCTACTTGGAAGAATACGGAGGAGTCTTGGAGCGCCAGCCACGTTGGTATTAATGCACGCAAGAAAATGTTGAATTCAATGTAAATACAGCGTGACTACTGCTGTTATGCATGTACTCTGTTTTTTTTGCATATGTGAAGACAAATAGCTACAAGAAACTTTGAACGAGCAATGTGAACGGAAATTACCAGATTGTTGCATCTCTCCTTTGGCCGTCTCAACCTGGGCTTGCCGACGTAGGGTTACAACACCAAAGTGCTGGATTCCAGCTTCTAGGCACCCGCATATCTGATGTTCGGCGTAGGAGGCGCCTTCATATCCTTTCCAATGAAGTAGTCGACATGACTAGACTGCATGTAGCCCTTCAGTGTCATGGCGTTGCGGTAAGCCGGGTTGTGCGCCAGAGTGTACAGCCGGATGTCGCTCGGCTTGTCCGTCGTAAAGATCAGCAACTCATCCGCATCTGCATTAGTCACAACAACCTCCTCCCTCCAGTCGCCAAGGATGTCGCCAATGAACTGGGCGTATCTGCCCGACAGAGTACCTCCGTAGGTGCTGACCTTCAAGATACGATCGACCGCAGAGGTGTTCCAATTCCATTTCTCAAACTTGCCGTCGTTGAAGAGCTCCATCATCTCATCCCCATCCCACCAGAGACCCGTATGAGGCCAGGGAGCAAGGGAGGTGTCGGACTCAGTGAGCGCGTCCTCCTTCGCGTTGTAAACGCCCATGAACGACCATACCTCCATGCCCTCGTGATTGGGATCAATGTCTCCAGCCATGCCTCGCCCATTGTCGCCGACCTCATCGCCATAGTGCTTCCAGAGGATTTCGCCAGAGTCGGCATCGTAGTAGTACTCATACAACAGGCTCGGGTTATCCTGCTGAACGCCATAACCCTGGAGCCCCTCGCGGTCGGGGTCCATCTTGGCGATGTGGAAGCGGTCGCCGTGAACAACACCCTGGTCGTTGAGCGAATAGCGAGGCTTTCCATCACCGTTGAGACCAAATCCGATCTCGAAGATTTCGTCCTTGCCATCGCCGTCCACGTCGATGATACGCGTGTTGTGTCCGTCCGAGTAATTGCCGTTACCCCGGTTCCACTGCCACTCCTGCGTGAGAGCTTTACCGTTGAAGGTGTAGGCCGCGTAGATCAGATTGAAGGCTCCCGAGTCCTGGCGGTTCTTCATGTAGGCAACCAGGTGAGGTGTCTCTCCGTCAAGGAATCCCGCGCCCAGGCGCGCGCCCATTGGGCCGTCTTCGATGTAATCTGTGGGCACAGGGGCAGTAGCACGGAGAGCGCCGGTAAGTCCGTCGATGATGGCCATGAACTGGTGGTCGTCGGTCTCGCCATCGTCGAAAGTGGTGCCGTCTCCGAACTTGACACCGTTGGCGATTCTCAGAGCGACTTCCGCTCGGCCATCACTATCGAAGTCGAAGACAGTCGCGCCGTCCCAGTGGCCAACATCGATCGTTGCAGATCCAGGTTCAATATTGTTCTGGTTCTCGCTGTTGGGCCCCAAACTAATCTGCCACAGAAACGTTCCGTTGCTGGTGTACGCTTCAACGGACTGAGGCGACGTCTGGCGATCAAGGACAAAGTCCCACTCTCCATCGCCATCCAGATCGCCGACCCAGATAAACTTGACGGCGCCCCCGCTGTTGATGGGGACTCGAACAACGGGCTCGACGGCATTATCAGCCGGGAGACTGAAGGATCCGCTGGCGTCTTGCTCTTTGCCGCTGATGACCGACTTGACGAAGTAGGTGTTGACCTCGTCCGGGTCGGCGGTGGAGTCGACAAAGTTGGTGCCGCCGGTGAGGACAGCGCTGTTGAGCTTCTCAGGGCTTCCGCCCACGTCGCGATAGACATTGAAGCCGATTCCGCTAGGGTCAAGACCCAGGAGCCGCCAAGAAACGAGGACCTCCTGATCGCTTCTGCGGACGGCGACTACGCCTCGGCCGAGGTTTTCCAAGGGCCGAGCTGCGTGGGCCAACAAGCCGCTGAAGAGAGCAAGAATTGCGGGGAAGGTTACTTGCAACTTCATGATGGATGTCTGAGGTAGATACAGGAAGGTTACTGCATTTGAAAGTTTGCTGGCTTGGATCTCTATCGCCCGAAATCTCATTCGAGAGAACTCGTTTCGCTCATTTATATTTCTCGGTAGCTAGGCAATTCGTTCATGAAGTTGACATGCCGGCTGCAATATCCCACACTCGTTCTCGTGGTTCCGAAATGCAACGAGATGACTTTCACTCAGGTTACATTCCCAGTTTTGGCAATGGATATCGGTAGATGTCGTTCGGCCGCGCCAACGACATTACGCGCAGACGGCATTTCCTCAAGCGAAGGGCCGCCATTGGAGGAGGAAACAATCCAAGTCTTGGCAGAGTACCACAAGGTCAGCAAACCCTAGCCCAGTAACTTGGTCCGAATCACATTCCCCGGGGATCCTGTCCTGGCTTTAGGTTCGTGAGTCGTTGTCGGGAGATCTGGCCCGGAGCATCGGACGAACGCGCGGGAGAGGTGACTTACCCCACGGGGAAGTGTGCCTGCCAAGCCCGCAAGCTGCACCCCACAGCCATTGGAAATATTGTCGATCAAGTCCTTTCTCTCCCCCGACCTGAGAGCTTCTCGCTTGTTTTGTCGCGTGTAGCGCTTGGGGTTAAGCCCCCCGAGCAGATTTGGTATGCTTCACCGCGGAAGTCTCGTTCATCTGAAAACACATCCTCATCAAAGGCTGGAAACCAGCAATCCTGCTGACCTGTAAAGGATAGCTAATTTTACCAATGCAATAAGCTGCGAGACCATGGAGGAATAATAACTTAACCCCTTCAACCCGGCAATGTAGGAATAGTCACCTCGCACTCCTGGTACGTCGTGCTCGCGCCGTACTCGCGCTCCGCCTTGATCATGCTGCCGCCGAAGTGGTCGCACACGGACTTGGTCGCGCCGTTGTTGGGCACGCCGTTGCTGTCGTAGCAGTGGCAGTCGTTGTAGCTGGCGGACGCGGAGGCGTAGGCCGCGAAGGCGAGGGTGAGGATGGCGGAGACGCGCATCGTGGAGGAAGCCGTGGGTGTTATGGTGGCCTTTGATGTGTCAGGGAATGGACGAAGGTTTTATATATGGAGGTGGAGTTGCTCACAATGAAGATGAAGGGATAGTCGATGCAGGTTGAGATGATAAACCGGTGGGATGAAGTTCAGCTGGGTTGGCATTTATACAATTCGCTCACTGCATTGAGGTCTCTATGCGAGCATTACCTAGATATCGGCTAGGCTACATCATATGCCCCTGGTCAGTACACGTTGAAATCGGACCTCAACTGACTCTGTCAATCATTCCACAATCCGCCCGGGATCCCACGCCAAGCCCACCGGCAACTCCCTCCGTGCTTCTTGTTCCTTTTGGCCCATGCGGTGGAGCCATGACTTTAAGTACGATCAGCACCGACATGAACTTCCTCCAATCGACGCAGCGCAGTAGTATCAACATCCTGACTCGCACCTTTTCCTCATGGTACGAGCTTCGTCAAAAAGGTCGGCGCCTCCCCCGTATATCGCTATTGGGGCCCTGCGTACAGGCCTTTATTCTGTTGACACTTGTGTCCATATCCAACTAGCTTGATCTCAAAGATATCAGTGCAAACGGCTTCATCGAAGATTTTGTGTTGAAATTGTGTTGTATCGTGTGACTCCAAGTACCAGAGATAGTCATTACCCACAGATCTCTCTGTCATTGAGACGCCATGTAACTGCAGAGTAACTATAGCAGGTACATGCCTGGGCTGTGGATGTAAGAGCACAAATCCCGCGCCATGAATATGCGCGAACTACGTCGTCTTGCGATGAGATGCATGTCGAAGCTATGACTCGCGATACCCTTGAACGCCAGTCCGACACGAGGGCCTAGGCTAGGTCCTGTGGCGTGATTGCAACAATCACGCCGTGGAGGTAGACCGAGCTGGGGCACTACATTAAACATCTTGGGACGTCGTTGGCCAGTAGGTCCAGGGTTAAATGGAAACGATGTCGTCGGTCAGAATGACGAGGGTATAACAACAGGGAGTCGAAAAGTCTATTTGGACCGTGAGCGCCACAACATGTCGATTTTATCCCATTCGGTCTCACCGCTCAAGATCCAGAGACAGATGGAACCGTGACGAGATAAGAAAAGGTGACATCAATTCATTAGACTGCTATGGTTATCTCTAATCATGCATCAACAATCTCGAAGCGGACGAGGATGGAGCAAGTTGTCTCTCTGCCCTTCAAGTCCAGCATTCGGATAAAGACCCAGCCGGGTACGGTGTAAGCCAGCCGCACGGCGCCGACCGCCAGCATCGGGTTCTTGGAGAAGCTGTCGTCGCTCTTGATGAGCATCCGCAAGAACACCATCTCGTTGTCTTGGTACTCCCACTCCAGCGTCTCGTCCCACAGCGGTTCCGTTGGTGGCGGGTTCTCGCCCTTGTGCAGGAAACCCGTGAGCTTGTGTTGCCTGTACCCCGCCGTCTTCCTCTTAGGGGGTTCCATGGACAGATCATGCGGATGAACCAGAGTGCAGGTGAGGTAGGGCTTGATGGGCTCGTCGTCGTCACGCTTCGAAGGGACAGGTACATCGGTGGCACCGCCAACGTGGAGACGCAGCCTCTTCTTGCCTCCAGAATCAAGATGGCCGGAGCCGCCAGCGCGAAGTGCAGCAGGCTTCAGGATGAAGCCCTCGGAGCCACTAAAGAGGGCCTCATTGAGCTGCATCGATGCGCCAAAGGTCTGCCAGTTAAGAGCGCAAACCTGAGCACCGACCCCCCAGAAAGGGACCGGATGGAGGTTCTTAGACGAGATGCGGGTGCCCTTCGGGAAGACGCGCATGAGGTGCTGAGCGTTGTGTCGGGAGATCTTGTCGCTGGCCTCGGGCATGTGAGAGGCGAGGCCAGACTCGGAGACGTTGATGAGGTGATGGTGGGGTCCGTCTTTGAGGATGTTCTCGTACCAGGAGTTGTCGACTGGCTTGACGGACTGGGCGTAGACGCCGAGCGCCTCAAGCTCGGGGACGATGAGCGTCTTTGGGGCGGCCTTCTTCTTGGCCTTGTAGGCTTCGTGGTTCTTTTTCTCTTCCTCGTCCTCGTCGTCAGAGCTGGAGCTGCTGTCGTCAGGCTCGCCTGGGAAGTGGTACTCGACAATGAGGACGATCTTGTTGCCGAGCTCCTCGAGACGGACAGGGCTGTCGCCTTCCTGCTCCGCGTGGCCCTTCTCTCGCACCGCCTTGCTCAACAACCTGTCGCCAAAGACTTCCTTCATGATATGAACGAGGCGTATCTGCCCTTCTGGGTCGCAGTGGTTCTCCAGAGACAGAAGGATGGGGGCAGCCGGGTTAGGATCTCTTGCCTCCTGGTCGACAACATCGCGGATGGTCTCGCAGACGGCACGGAAGGGGATATGAGAGACCAGGGTGTAGCCGTGGGTGACCTTTGGCTCGTCCTTGTTGTCGGGGTTGTCCCAGGCATCAATCTCGACGCAGCGTGCACCAGCGCGCAAGGTGTCTTCGTAGGCCTCGGCCGAGGAGCTTCCATAAAGCTGGTGGGCCAGGAGGTAGGTGTTGTGGCTGGAGCTGATGAAGTACTCGGGCAGCGGGTGGGACCTGTCAGTGAGTTCGCGCGGCACGCTGATGTGAGGCTTGTCGACGAGAGCCTGCAGGGCGCGGGAGGGCTGGTCCGAATCGATGTCGGCCTCCTTGGAAGACAGAACCTTCTGATCGACCAGGAAGGACTTGATTGCGCGACTCACGCGCAGGCGGTGCTTGAGGTCGGAGTCGCGGGCGGCGTGGCCTCCGCCGGCGAGGGTGGAGTGGTCCGTCTTCTCGCCGAGCTCTTCCTCATCCTCCGGGGCGCGCTTGGAGAAGGGGTTGAGGTTGGCAAGCTTTGAGGTGATTTGCGCAGCCATGTTGAGGAGCGACAGGTGGGTTCTGACTCAGGAGGGAGGAAGGGCGTCTGTCGTCTGCGCTCGAGCTGTGGCGCACGGAGTAGGGATATTTGAAGGGACGAGGCAAGGTGAGATGAGGTGCGGAGGTGAGATGATGATGAAGAGGCAGGGAGGAGCGGCGGCAGGGAAAACAGACGACGTCAAGCTTGGCTGATGCACGCCGCGTCAGGTCGCAGCTGGTGTGGTGCCTTCCTTGAATGCGCCCCCAAAATGCCCCTCAGCTCCTGCTCAGAATGCGCCGGCGCGATGGAGGGGTTCTTTTGGTGTGGAGTCGATAACTGGGGAGCTAGTTGAGCTGTGGCCAATGGAAGCCGCCAGAGATGACCTATTCAGGTTAGCTCATGCCTTACATAAGACAGGTCAAAACGTGCCCCTCACCACCTTCTTGAATGGAAGTTCTTCGTCCACTGGTTCGTCTCATCCTCTGAATCCTTCCAGAGAACACCTCCCTCAGACGGGCATGGTCTTCTAGAACAAGCATCCAAGTCTTCGATGCACCGAGAGCATCCGGAATGGACACACGGGCTATGTTGGTTAGAGCCTGCGCCATCTGCCACGAGCCTGTGGCCGCCAGCGCATCTCTTCCGACATGGCCAACGCGACTGCGCGACTGCCGGTGCTCTGAGACGGACGAGACCACTTCATAGTCCGTTGCGACGATCGGCACTTTACCGCTGTCTCATCCTGGCTCAGCCGCAGAGGCTTCAACGCGGCATCCTGTTTCGCCGGCTAGCCAGCTGTTCTCTCGTCCACCCAGCTGAGCTCAGCTGTCCGGCCCAATCAGCACTCCCAGACTCCAGGCCAAGCAGTCGACCCCACGATGCAGTGCCAGCGTCGTCAGCGCCCCAGGATCAAGCCGAATCTCCAACATCACCCTCGCTGATGGATCCACTTCGGCGCCGTTCTACCGGCTCGGCATCTTCCTGCCCGGAACGGCACTCAGGGACTCTTTCAGCCTTGTGGGTCCGTCACACCGTGAACCTGCAGCCAGACCTTTCCGCCCCCAGACATTGGCGTCTTCTTTTCTCCGATGCAAAGACGTCTGTTCCATCTCCTCGTGTCATGTCAAACACCACCTGACTGTTCGGGATGTGCTGCTTGCGTCGTGGGAATAGCGGGGTCGCGAGAATGCACGACGGATCTGTTTTGCGGAGAATTCGAAGAATCATCGAGGAATGATCGGGGCTCACAATCGAATGCTGATGCGAGGAGCTCGGACGTTTCAGCCAGGATTCCCCTTCGCCGCATTCATGGGCTACCACACGGAAAGGACTTCAGAGCTGCCTTACCTTATTCTGGTCGCGAGCTTCCACTCCCATCCAGGCCGTCCCGGGGCATGTTGAGGCGCGTGCGTTGTTCACTTGTGCGCTAGCCCGACGCAGGACGCATTGCTAGGATATCTACTGGCGGGACAACCCAAGCTTTTCGATTCGAAACGACAAAGATATGGCCACCAAATCTGATTGAGCCATGGAAGCTGTGCGACCGAATGCTGTTCGCCAACTGTGCCCGCAGACACATTTTGCTCCCAACCCCTCGAGCTCCATTGGCGGTAGTGCATGCACCTCCAAGGGTCTTTGGGCGCCATCTCGGTCGGTCATGGCTAGGCCCTCCAAGTCTGGGGTCTAACGGGGAGGCAAATATTGAATTGGCATGGCTGGCCAGATGAACCACGGGTAGCGCAGCTGCACAGGGAACAAGCAGCAGGGGAGCTCGCAGGCGCCCTCCATCCGTCGAACCTAGCCAGATGGCTCCCTGACGGCCGCTGTCATCCTCAGCTTACCTTGTGCGTTATTTTTACCCGAAAGCGGCGAGCGGCACACCGCCAGACGCTCATGACGAGAAGCAAGCGACAAGTCGTTTGATGGACGGGTTTTGATGGATGGCATGGCATGGCTGGGTGCATTGAGAATCATCAAGACAACACACATGCGACCGGGGACGAGAGGCGAGGAGGTGCAAATCGCATCGTGATCGACAGTGCCAAAAGCCACGGGATGAGCAACATCGCCTTCGCCTCCCACCTCCCACGGTGTCTTCTCCTCGTCTCAGTCCAGTGCGGTCGCACAGCATGCGGGGTCCAGCAGCATTCCACCAAAGAACCCCCGTCCCACGCCTACGCGGGCCTCCGGCAGTAGTGTGCCCAACGATGACTCCCCAGGCATCCCAAGACCCTGCTGGCCTATTGCGTGCGGGAATCAGCTTCTGAGGGAGCTTCGGAAGGGTTGCCCATGACGTCTGGAGCTGCGGCGTCTTCCCAAGTTCCTTCTGCGTCGACCTATGGGGGCGGGCTCGCTGCCTACTGCCGCTAGAGGGTGTCCGATTTGGGGGCCACAGGTTAGCTCTACCCTCTCGTCGCAGAGATCGGCGCCGACGGCCAACGCCACACCCTTCTTCTCCCGTCCTCCACTTCTTTTTCCTCCATGCTACGTTGATTCTCCAGGGTATTTACATGTGAGCCACCACGCCTTCCCACGTTTTGGCATCGCCCGTTCAACTTCGTCTTGTCGACTTGAGATATCCGGTGCAGTTGTGGCAGAGACTGGACGGCAAGATGGTCAACCCGGGGATTGTGTACCTTTTGGTGAGCAGCCCACAGACTTCAGGCGGCATTGCAGCGTTCCATTCCCCATTGCGTTCGCTAACCTGACTGGGATTATCAGATCTGCGTCGCCCTTCTTGTGACGGCCATGTAAGTCCTTCTCCTCGACAGATCAACAGCACCGTTCGATTTCAATCTTACTGACCATCGCGCAGCGTCACTCACGTCTCGAGCTCGAGACTCTCCCTCCCGACCGCGCCGTTTTTGAGCTTTCTTCCCATCATCCTCCCCATTATTGGCGCCGTCAACGCCTTCTACCGTCCTCGCCTTCTCTTCAACGCCAGCCAGTCGCTCGCACGCACCGAGCAGCTGCTGCCGACGATCCTGCAGAGCTTGCAGGGCGTTTTGACTACCGCCATCGCCGTTCTCTTCCTCCAGTCTTCGCTTCCCGGCGCCACTTTGAATTGCGGATTATCGACCACCTGGCAGCATGAGTTTGCTGGCAAGGACGAGTCTGCCATTCGACGCATCCAGGATAGCTTGGACTGCTGCGGCCTGAACAGCGTCAAGGATCGTGCCTGGCCATTCCGGGCAGATGTGCAATGCGCCCAGAGATACGGGCGTGACACCCCGTGCATGGGACCATGGCGCGAGGCAACGATCAGGAACTCGAGCATCGACCTGGGCATCGTGTTAGTGGTCGGTGTCTTGCAGGTGCGTTTGCCTCATAAAGTGTGCTTGGATTTTGACGGCTGACCACCTGTCATCAGATTCTCACCATGCTCTACACACAAAGCGCCAGCAACTGGAGGCACGCGTGGTGGGCACAGGGCTGGCGACATCTCTCGGACCGCCCCATCGAGGAGCGTGAGCGCACCCGACCCCTCCTCACATCAGCCGCTGCCGCCGCCGCCGCCGCCGAGGCTCCGAATGACAGTGGTGACGAGTCCGACCAACCCGTGACATACCGCGATCTGAGCCCCCAGTACGGCACCACTGGCGAACCCCGTGGCCGAACCCGCACCGCCGCCGGCCGCATCGAGCCCTCGTCGCTGAGAAACGTGACGAACGTTTGGGAGGGCGACTAAGGCCTAGGCCGACCTACACCACCAACTCAAGCATCCGCATGATGAAACCACTTTTTTTTCTTTCTCAAATCTTGCGTGTAAGACTTTAGCATTGCGAGCGAGGGATATTGCACGGAGTTAACGTGTTGCTTGTGGAGAGAATGCTTGGCACGGCGTTGGGACGGAGTATTAGTGCTTAGTGTGGTACAAATTGTCACGTCTTTTCCTTTTCATATTTTGGGGCTAAAAGTTTTACCGAAGTCTTGTTGAAATCTCATTCATTGACGCCGCTTGTTTTGACATGCCAGCCAGAAGCAGAGCCAAGTCGCGGCCCGCCATGGCGAATCTGTCGATCCCCGTCAATACCAATCAAAGGTTTATATGAAAATTTCTGCTTACCGAATAGGAGCATGTCTCTTCGCAAACTCTTCAAGTAGATCTGGCCTCGGCTCCAAACCTCCCAGTCCGACGAACACCTTGCGTCCGTCTACGCTCGCCTTCTCGGCTGCGGCTGCGATCTTGGCCACAGTGGAGTGGAATAGCTCCGAGTCGTATTGTCCGGGGATGCCCAGTCTAATCATCGTCAGTCGCATCTTGTGTAAACGATGGGAGGAGGACATACTCCATGCAGAGGTCTGCGCATCCGATGAAGAGTGCGTCGATGCCTGGTACCGCGGCGATGGCCCTAGCGACAGTTTTAGCATGGGTTCATCTAGAGAAGCGGATGTACACATACTCTACATTCTCCACGCCCTCTCTTGTCTCAATCATGGGCATGATGAGTACCTCGTCGTTCACGACTTCGGCGATGGCCGCGTAGGACAGTTGCGTGGTGTACTGCGTCATTGCGGTGACCATTGTGACTGAGCGGTGGCCCTAACGACGGAAGTTTCGCGTAAGCTTTGGAAAGGAGGTGGAGGTTGTTGCAGAGGATGGAAAGCAACTCACAAGAGGAGGGAACTTCGACGCGTCAACGCACATCTTTGCCTGTTCCACGGTGTTGACGTGCGGGACGATGACGGCCTGCGCGCCGGAGTCGAGGCAGCGGGAGATCCATTCCTGGGAGCATGTTGGGACGACTACCGTTGGTGTGATTCTGCGATCAAGAATAACATCCGTCAGTAATTTAAACAGTTCGCTCGGCTGTGCCTATCTACAAGGAGCTGTGGTGAGGAAAAGGCTTGCTCACCCCACGTTCAGACACGACACAGCAATGTCCTTCATCGTCTCCATGCTCATGGCCATGTGCTCGAGGTTCATCAGCACGGCCGAGTAGCCCGCGCGCTTGGCGACGAGGGGCATCTCGGTGGAGAAGGCGACGCGCAGGCCGAAGGAGTGCGCGAGGCGGTTCTGGCGCATGAGGCTCTTGACGAGGTTCGGGCGGACCGTCTCGCGGGCCAGGGCGAGCTGGTCGGGGGGCACTGTAGAGGACATTGTCTTGGCGGTCTTGGTTGCTGTGATGGGTATTCTCAGGTTTCGCTGATTGACATTTGAGGTGAATAGGAGAAGGAAATGCGCAGATACAATCTAGAAGAGATCGGAGGTTTGGCTGACGTCGTCGCTGGGGCTGTTTTAGAGAGCACAATCGCGTTGCTTCGTATCCCGACGTCGGCCGATGGACGCCGGCCGCCCCGGCGGACGGGGGTGCTTATCCGGGGACCGGGGGGTGGTATAGAATGATAAGAATGCGGGGAAAGCGATCGGAGGGAGAAGAAGGGGGGATGCGTCGGACGACGCCCGACGAGAGGGGCGCAATGTGTGTTTGACGCAGCTTATCTTCGGGCAGGATGCCGAAAGATTGAGGGGATCCACCGGCGGTGTTGAGGTCTTGGCTTGCGCTTTTGATCTGCTGATACTGTTGATAACATGCAGTTGGATGGGAGATGCCGCATGGCAGGCCAGGGGGTTAGTTTGGTGTGGTGGCTGGTTATCATTAATCCGTAGTCTTTTCGGAGGATAATAAAACTTACATTATGGAGTGGGAGTTCATTGTCCAAGGTGTGCCTCGGTGTCGAAACTCCCACCGGTTCTTCCTGACTTGATTTGCGAAAGCCTTTTTCGAAGACTTTCGTTGTTCAATTCGCACACAACGCGACTCGGCCATGGACGGCAAGAAAAGTCACGAGGTCAACTCGGCCATGTCTCCCGCTACTTCTGACGTTGGCGTTGGCGCGCACGAGGCGCACAAAGTCTCCTTTGGAAAGAAGATTTTGTATCATCTATGGGATGCGGATCAGCATCTGAAGAGTCCGCAGGAGAGGGCTCTGGTGAGGAAGTTGGATTTTGGGATTCTCATCTGTGCGACGTTGGGATGGGTGAGTTTCCCCCTCGCCTGTGGTCTCTTTGGAGTTGCTGACAAGTTTGGTAGTGGATGAAATACATTGATCAGAGTAACATCACCAACGCATGTAAGCCGGCCCTTTCTTAGATGAGGCTTTACGGGAGATGATTAGTGTGTTGATAAGAAGCGATAGACGTGAGCGGTATGAAAGAGGATTTGAACATCAAGGGGAACGAGTACACATACATGCTAAGTAAGTGTTCAAAGTAACCGACGGAGATGAGGTCGTCTAACAGAGTTGTATTCTACAGTGTGCTACACCATTGCATTCGCCATTATGCAAATCCCAGCAAACATGATCGCCCTCAGAGTCCGTCCTCGTGTTTGTCTCGTGGTCTGCGAGCTCGGCTGGACAGCTTTCACGTAGGATTGCATCTGAAATCCCACCATTCCCCAAGCAGAAAGTTAACCCAGGATGACAGCTTCGCGCAAGCTGCAGCCCAAACAAGCAACCAAATGTACGCCTTCCGCTTCATGGTCGGCCTCTTCGAGAGCCCCTTCTCGCCCATCATAATCTTCCTCCTGGGATCGTGGTACACCAAGACGGAACTCGCAAAGTACGTCCCCCACCTCCAATATCTCACACGTCCAAACAAAATACTGACTCTACCCCAAGGCGCGTCGCCGTCTGGCACGTCACCGGCTTCTTCGGCCAAGCGACCTCGGGCTTCCTCCAGGCCGGCATCCACAAGGGCCTCGACGGGCACCTCGGCATGGCGGGCTGGCGCTGGATGTACATCATCTGCGGGTGCATGAGCCTGCCGATCGCGCTGTCCGTGTGGTTCCTGCTGCCGGACTACCCGCACAACACGACGGCGTGGTACATCACCGAGGAGGACAAGCAGCTCGCGATGCAGCGCTCCGCGAAGCTGGGCCGCGTCGAGATCACGGGCGTCATGGACCTGAAGCTCGTCAAGCGTATGTTTGGGAACTGGAGGTGGTGGGTGCTGTGTCTGATGTACATCTTTGTGAGTTTTTCCCCCTGTTGTGGATGAAGTGTGTAGTGGAAGTATGCTGACTGTTACCGGTAGTATGGAAACTCGTGCCAGGCGAATAACTATTTCGCCATCTACCTGCGTATGTCTTGCATTTGGAGGGCAGACAAGGGGCCAAGCTAACGGTTGATAGGCGAGAACGGCTACAGCGTCACCCAGCGCAACGTCATCCCGGCCTGCGCCAATCTCGTCACGATGGTGACCGACTTTTCGTGGGGCTTCATGTCGGATCTGACCGGGAACCGACCATTGTGGATGGTTGGCCCATTGGTAAATATCCCTCTCTCTTCCATCGGAGAGAAACTACTGACAAGATCTCACAGCTCGGCACCACCGTCGTCGGCTCTTCCATCCTCACCGCCTACCCCGCCTCCGACGGCGCTCGCGTCGCGGGCTTCTTTTGGTTGCCTGCGGTTACGTGACTGCCGTGACCTGGGTGAGTAATCTCTTGGATCTACTGAGTTATCGAAGAAGCTAACTGGGAGCAGACCTGGGCCAACGAGGTCAACAACGGCAACGCCGAGGAGAGGGCCTTGACGATTTCCAGCATGAACGGACTATTCTACGCAACCAGTAACCTACCTGTGATCCCATTCTAGACTTTGTGACTAACGGGTGGTGAGCAGACTCTTTCCTGCCGATTCTCATCTTCCCCCAGACCATGGCTCCCAAGTTCGAGCGAGGGTTCCCTTCGATTCTATCCTTCGCGCTTGCTGCTGTGGTACTCGTCCGTAAGTCAAACCTAAGTCGTATACGAAAACGACCGGGGTGTGTTAACGAGTGTTTGGCAGTTGTCGCGGACTTTTTGCACAAACGTCAGCTCCGGCAAGAGGCTGCGGCAGTTGCGAACCAGCCGGCTTCCGAGGCTGAGGTCGCTGACCCTGTGGATGCTCAAGAGCAGGAGATTGAGAATAAGTTGGTGGGCGCCGTGGAGCCTGTCCGCAACTCTGCTACCATTATTTGAGGCTAGAAGATTACACCGGGTTATGGTTGATGTTTATTTCAATTATTGTAGAGCAACCATTGGGGATATCAGAGGGATTTACATACTGTTGTGGGAGTTTAGATATCAATCAGAGAATGTTAAATATGCGCCGTAGTTCCCTTCTCCTTCATAGCGTGATAAATCGCTTCCAAAATCTCCCATAGCCTTGACTAAATCAAGACGGACTCTTTTCCGGATTGAAATCTACCACCAAAACTGAACGCTCGGTTCACTTTAGGGGAAACAGACCCACGCAGGACTTCGACTACGATCAACTTATGACATCTTAATTCTCTATGTCCAATTTGACTACCTGATTCCAATAGTTACAGGGCTACTCAAGTCTTCTCCCTTCTTGATCCTTTCCCTGACGTCAACAATCGTAGCACCTAGTCTGTCAATTCCCTCTTTGATTTCCGCAACTTCATGCCACGCCCAGCAAAGTCTGATACATCGGGCAAACCCATCTTCTGCCTCCGCCCGAGACACGCTGCTCTCGTCTCCAGTGACGGTGAACATATGACCGAAAGCCACGCGCAACAGTTGATCTTTCAGCGCGATCGCGGCTACGTTCTTGGCGACGGGAAGGTCGTCCGGTAGCCTGAGGTACGTGAAGAATCCCCCCGCCGTCGGCGAGCCTGCGTCTTTGGGCCTGTTCACTTCAACACGAACTCCGAGAGGAACCAAAACATTTTCGATGGCTGACATGAGCGCGTAGTATCTCTCTCGGTACGTGGGAACGAGCGTGTCCTTAATGTGGGACTGAAGCTGACGGTTTCGGAGCATCTTGTCGACAAAGGTAGAGGTAAGGTGTGAAGGCGCACCACCCGAGCTGGAAGAGCCGCTGGTTGTATCGAATTAGTCAGATGGTAAATGAGAATAGGAGGAATAGCACCCGTAACTTACACCTCTCCCAGCTCCTTAGCAAAGGCTGGCGTGCTCTCCGCCCATCCGACTCGAACACCTGGTCCAATGACTTTGGAAAACGAGCCGTTGCTAACTGTGTTACCAAATTGGCTGCATCCAGGCATCTCTCGGTCGACATCGACAAGGCGAGGAGGCACAGTGGCTACAGCGTCTGCGGCAGCAGAGGGATCCTCCGGCCAGCTAAGGAAGTCGTAGACGTCGTCTGAAATTATAAGAGCGTCATAATCGCGAGCAAGGCTGACAAGATCCTTCCGCATCTGCAGAGAAAGAGTTTTTGCACTGGGGTTGGAGAAAGTTGGGACGAGGTAGATGACGTATTTGTAGATTTTCGGATACGTCTTGCCAGTCTTGATCGACGGGGCATCTAGTTCTCCAGAGGCCTTTGCCTTTTCCAATGCCTGTGCCTCTGCAGCATCTAGCTCGTGTCGAAGGAAAGCAATGTCGAGACCCTCCTCGTCGTCCTCAGGGACGCCTTTGAGCTTGCCCTGGAACCCGCTGTCTTCAAAGATGGGGCATGCGAGGAAGTATGTCGGCTCAACCATGAAAATCTTGCGCGTGTAGAGCGGGTCGGTGAATTTCAACAGGACGTTGGCCAGGTTCCCCGAGGCGCCGTTGCTAATGCTTATTCTTTCGAAATCAGCTGGTGTCCCGTAGACCGAGGAGAGCCATTCTGCCACGCTCTTGCGGAGAGGGGGATGTCCGACGTGAGGACCGTAGACGAGCGCAGCGGCTGTCTCGGTGTCTGAATTGAGGACCTGTTTGGCACCATCAAGGAGACCGCTTGGGGCGAAGAGACGGGGCGACGGCCATCCCAGCTGGAGATTGATGAGGGATGTCGGTTTGACAGCGTCGCTGGCGATGTTACTGCCCATGTTGTTCGATGTGAAAGTTTGGCAGAAGTACCTAGATGAGTGCTTGGAAACTTCGGGAAGACATTAAGGTGATCCTGCGATTGCCTGCTGGATATGATGGTCGGACAACACGGCTTACACGGCTGTGGACTGAGTTTCCCGGCCCCTCCCCCTTGTTGCCGGGAGTTTCTTATCGGGAGACGTTCCCCGATGGTGGCCGGGGACCCCTGCAGAGTCGTCGGGCGCTAGGGGTGCACTCCGACAGGATCCCGACGCCCGACCGATGGATTGGCCTTGCCTATCGCCTATCACTGGCACGGTACGGATGGCGTGGTTGAGGCTCAGCATCGATAGGAAATAATGAGGGGATTATGGGATGATTTGTTGGTGTCCGACGTCGGGTAAGGTAGACCGAACGGCTTGTTGGTCAGTGTAGTCGCGAGATGATGGCAAAAAGGACCGTTGCCCCCGCACGAACACAACGTAATGAATAAACCAGATTCTTGCTGGACATTGTTCTCGATTCCTCTGTAACGCATCATAAACTCCATCAAATTCTGTGAAAGATGTCTCTGAAGTGGCCCGACGTCAAAGCTGAGCGCGATGCCTTCGCGGCGGAGGTCAAGGAAATTGAGGCGTGGTGGGAGACCGATAGGCAAAAACACATCAAGAGGTTTGTATCTTTCCTTTTAAACCCCCAAGACAAATCATAATTTCTGCCCTAACCACCCATCTATTGAATTCCTTTTTGCTATGACTAGTCTCACTAGCATTGTCGATCACAGTAACTATGTAATGGAGAGGGATATTAGTGCTTGTTCCTTCTAACTTGTAATAGACCATACACCGCCAAATCTATCGCCGCTTTGAGGAATGTTGGGTTTAAAATCGAATATCCCTCTAGTGTGCAGGGAAGGAAGCTTTGGCGCATCCTGAATGAGCACAACGACAATGGCACATACGAACTCACATTCGGGACAACTGAGCCCCTGATTGCCAAGGAGATGGCAAAGACAAGTACGAAGGATGACCATAAAAACTGCGATGGCGTGTTTTTCCAGTCCGCTAACGCTGAGCAGTGCAAACTGTGTATGTCTCCGGCGCGCTTTGCGGGCTATCTCAAGCCACCTGGCCCGGTGAAGACCATGCCGACTATCCTGCCGACCTCGTGCCATCTGTCGTCAAGCGAATCTTCAACACCCAACTATTCCACGACCAGCGACAGACACAGCTCAGAATGCGGTACAGCGAAGCCGATCGCCAGGCACTTGAGTGCATCGACTACATGCTGCCCATTGTCGCAGACGCTGATATGGGATTCGGCACTTTGACTGGATGCATGAAGCTGACAAGGAGCTTTGTAGAGGCCGGTGTCGCGATGATCCACATCGATGATCTGGCAATGGGTCTCAAGAAGTTTACCAATGGCGAAGGGCGAACCATTGTGCCCACGTCAGACTACTTGTCCAGGCTTACCACCGTGAGAATGACCTTCGACATCATGGGGTGAGTATGGCATAGCAATCACAAGATGGATGCGCTCTAATGATCTAATCACATTGCATAGTGCGGACACCATGCTTCTCTGTCGCTGTGATAGCGATCATGCCGAGTTCATCACGAGGTAAGATACAACCCCCTTTCTTTCCCACTCCGGGACTTCCAACTTCCATTTCTGTTGTCTCTCGTGTCCTTCGCCACGTATGCTTACCCCTTGAAAAGTGTGATTGACCCCCGGGACCACCCTTATGTGCTCGGCGCAACCAAGCCGGTTAGCTCCTTCATCCAAGCGATCGAGGAGGGTAAGGAATCAGGAAAGGATTATCTTACAGTCAAATCCGAGTGGAAGGCCTCTGCCGGCCTCATGACCTTCGATGAAGCTGTCAAGTCCGTGGCAACCAAAAAACAATACGAGGCCTACATGACCGAGCTCGTCGACAAGACCGTTGCATTGCAGGACCGGCGAGCTGCCGCCAAGCGCATCGTCGGTCATGATATTACATTCGACTGGGAACTTCCAAGGACGCCTTTGGGCCAGTACATGTGGCAATGGTCCACCAAAGCTGTCATCGACCGATGCATTCTCGCCGCACCTCTCGGTGATGTGACGTGGAGTCGTCAAGGTGCGTTTGGTTGAAACATCACACAGCACATGCGTTAGAAGCTGACATTCTTATTAGACAAACCAAGTGCGTCCTCCCGCAAACCCCCTCACTTGACTGGCGAATAAACGCTAACCCTGTTCCCAGACAAGAAAGATATGCACGAGTTCCACACGGCCCTCCGCGAGGTGTACCCGAATCGTCTCTTTGCCTTCGGATACACGGGTGCCTATGATTTCAGCAAGGGAGGATACTCACCGCAGGAGGTTGAGAAGTTCCCGGCCGACATTGCCAAGATGGGCGTTGTGTGGCAGGTCCAGCCAATCTGGGCGACTCAAGGACTTAGTCTGCACGCCAAGCAGTTCGCCGAGAAGTTCAAGAAGGAAGGGATTGCGGGCTACATGCGGGACGTTGCCGCCCCCTCCATTGCCGGCATGGCGACGGATAAGTACGGAAAGCCGACGTCGCGTGGGGGCTATCTTGCTGATGCCTTCTTCGATGTCGTGGCCGGACGGGATATTACTGAGATTGCTTGATATTAGGAAGAATACTCGCAGATCCCTCTGGCATTACGGGCTGTGCATATGTGCTTAGTTGCCGCGTTGGATTCCCTGTCTGGCAATATGCGGTACACGGTTGCGGTCGCAACCCTTTTTCTCATGCTCAATGATGAATACGCAAGTTGCAGACGCGCGATGCAACGAGAAGCATCAGGCCGCACCCGGCAATGTGATAATTGGCATGCAGCGCGCATCTTTTCGGAGCGGCGAATGAGGATTTGTCTGATTAAAATGCTGGTCTGATAGCTACGTCGGACTGTGAGCCAAGACCTTTGCGTAACATAGCTGCAGGTTGTCCTATTGGATGAGACAAGCATGCATTGTCTCTCACGTCTGACATGCATCGCAGCTCACTGCTCCAGCGGGCCGCTCGGCAGGATTTATGCTTCTCCACAAACGAGGAGCCACGGATACACTGCCAGATATTGATTGCACTGTTTGTGACGCCTTCCGTCAAGGGCTTTTGTAAGTGATGTTTCTGGTGTTTTAAAACATACTGCGTGCGTCTGATGGAGAGCGCATCGCAGCTTGAGATTGTCCCATCAACAAAGACTGAACATTCTTCCCCTGCCCCAACCACATAACCAACATGAACTCAACTACACTCAATATCACGGTTGTCAGCGATGAGCTTGACCGCAAAGAAAGTCTGTTGGCATCAATCGCTGCTCAGCAAGTCTTTCTGGCCGCTTCTTTCTTGGTTGCCTGCTTGTTCTATGCCCATCATTCACGCTCCAAGGGCTCTAAGCTCCCGCTACCCCCCGGCCCCCCCGGATGGCCCGTGATCGGGAACCTCCTCAAGTATCCAGACAGCCGAAGATGGCTCACAGAGTACCTTTGGAAATTCAACTATGGCCCCTTAGTCTATCTCAATATTCTGGGTAAGCCCACGGTTGTCTTGACAACTGTGGAAGCAACACATGAGCTTCTTAATAAAAGGGCAGCCAAGTATTCCGGGCGTGATCTAAGCGTCATGGCTGGCGACCTGGTGTCCAAGGGCTACAACCTCATCTTCCGCCAGTACGATGCGCAGATGCGTCTTCACCAGAGATTGAATGTAGCAGGGCTGAACCCACGTTCTGCTGCGCTATACGACCCAGTCCTACGTCTCGAGTCTCTTCAGCTCCTCCACGACATCCTCACAGAGTCCAGGGCTCAGCCAGACTCTGAGGGAGATCAGACTCCGAGACCTGCCGACACGCAAACTCCGCGTCCCTTCAACCCAAGATGGTACTTCCAGCGAGCCAATGTTGGAAGTCTCCATGTCATTCTTTATGGAGACCGTCTTGTCAAAGAAGACCCCACTACTGCTGGCAAGATGGACTTTCTCCTCACATGCCCAACGCTTCAAGCTCTGCAGAATCCACCTCTCGTCGACATTTTCCCTTGGTTGAAGTCCATTCCCTATGCACTCTCTCCTTGGAAGCTGCGTGCCGAGTCCATGTTCAAGGAAGAGGAGGCCTACCACCTTCGCAACTTGCGCAACGCAGTCAACCAGCCCGGTTACAACGTCGCGAAGCAAGTAGCCGACAGTGCGAAGCGCTTGAACATGGAGCTGAGCGACACAGAGATCAGCTGGGTCATTGGGACGCTGTTCCTTGCCAACGGCGACACCAGCCCGACCTTCATCACTTGGTTCCTGGTGATGATGATCAATTACCCTCGAGTCATGCACAAAGCCCAGCAAGTGCTGGACGAAGTTGTCGGATGTGATCGTTTGCCCACACACGATGATCGGTCGCGGATGCCTTACATCGACGCCATCATTGACGAGGTGATGCGTTACCGCCCCGTGGTGCCCTCTGGAGTCGACCACCTCTCCGTAGAGGAGGACGAATACATGGGTTACAGAATCCCCAAAGGCACGATCATTGTCACCTCTCAATTCTCCCTCGCTAGAGACAAAGCTGCCTTTGGCGCGGACGCCGAGGAATTCAGACCAGAGCGATGGTTGGAGAGAAACGATCTTCCGATCATAGGCTTTGGGAATGGGCGACGTGTCTGTCCCGGAAGGCATGTCGCAAAGGAAATCTTATGGATCATGGTGACTCGTCTGCTGTGGGCGTATGAGATGGAAGCGCCCATTGACCCAGAGACGAAGAAGAGGAAGGTCATTGATGACAGGGACACCGTACCAGTGGGCATCGTCATTGGACCCTCGCCATTTGAGGCTGTCTTCACGCCAAGAGGCAAGTGGGTGGAGGACATCATCGAGAATGACTTCAAGAATGCGGACTTTGATGTAAACAGGATCATGGAGGATGTGGCAAGGTCTAAGGGTCTCTAGGGAGAAAGAGATTGACGTGGGAGTTGCGGGCTAGTGTGAGCAGTTATGAAGGATGGTACGATGAGGATCAATTTCCGACAGTCTTTCTTTCGCCTCGTGTATCACGGCAGATGATGAGATACTCGGTAGACTTTGGGGCTTGGATGCTTTCCGTAGCCTAAGATTGCGAGATGCCTGCCTATTGGTAAGCGTTGCACTCGGCAGCGCTCCTCGTCAGGGGGAGATATTTGTATCGCTCAATATCGATTATTCACCCTCGAAGGAGCCGTCACGCGCGCATGAAAGTATTCCTACATGAGGCAGGAAGTAAGAAAAGCGACTGAGGCCCACTGTTACATCGAGTCTTGTGACTTGAGATGCGCGGATGCGCGGCACATGCACCCAATAAGGCTTCCGCCCTGATCGATAGGATCGAGTCCCCCTCTTCTTACTGCATATTTTAAAACCACTAGTTATACCTACCACATTCGAATCTCATGACAGAGAATCATGCTTATAATTATCACAACATCCCCTAAATACGTACACCGCGAAGCTACCGGATTGGACACTGACCGAGGTGCTCTTCCTGCTTTTCCCCTACCGTGACCCCCTTGGGTGGGCTTGAAGCTTCCTCAACATAAGGTAGTTATCACAAAACAACACGCACTTCGGTGTATGCTACTACTACAGCGTCCAGAATGACGACGACAAACACGGTCCCGCCTCAGGAGCCGCCCCACCTGATAGCGGCAAAGGATGTTATGCCAATCATGAAGCAGGTCATCAAAGAGCAATCCGACACCTGGAATCATGTGGCCGCGACCATTGACCCTGCATCGGCAACCTTTGACGCTGCAATTCGGCCATTGATCAATGTAGACAATGAGACGCAGGGTAGAATCGCTGTCATAGCAATGCTGCGCTACGCCTCGCCGGACCAACTAGCCCGTGAGGCATCAGACGCTGCCATTGGACTATTGCGACAGTGGGACTCCGAGAGGGTAGCAAGAAAGGACTTTTATCATCTGCTCAAGGCTGTTGAGGACAAAGCTGAGGAGGTTCACTTTGAAGATGCTAAGTTCCTCAAAAGCAACATCCAGCAGTTCACAAGAGGTGGCCACGGGCGGCTTGACCAAGATCAGTTGGCAGTTTACTTGGGAAGAAGAAACGAAATCGACGAGCTGAGGCAGCAGTACAACCGGAACTATCGAAATGATGATGGCGGTCTATGGCTTTCTTTGGACGAACTTAAAGGGGTGCCTGCGGAGGACCTCGCCCGCTTCTTGGGGAGGCAAAAGTCTACGGATGTCAGCACAAAGGATCAGGCATTTGTACGTTTTACGAGAGCAGATTTAAACGCCGTCTTGCAGTACGCTACATCGCCGGCAACCCGGAAGAAAGTCTACGTTGCCAACGAAAGAAAGGTACCGGAGAACGTTGACCTCTTCAAGGAGGTCATTGAGTTGCGAGACGAGAATTCTCGATTACTGGGATATGAGAACCACGCGGCGTTTCGGTTGGAGACTCGCGTTGCCAAGACCACGACTTGGGTGAACAGTCTCCTCGATGAACTCGAAGACGTCCTCCTGCGAAAAGGAAGAGAAGAGACGAAGTCGCTTTTGGAAATTCGAAACAAAGACTTCCCGCAAGACAACGACTCAATGCCCCCATGGGATTACGATTACTACAATCGCCTGCTGCAAGAGCAGATCGATGTCAAACATGGCCAGATCTCTGAGTACTTTCCACTAGACTACTCCGTCTCAGCAATGCTGGATCTATTCACCTCTTGTCTGCAGCTTCGATTCATTCCCTTGACGGCCGATCAGAAGAAGGACGTGGTCTGGCATGACGACGTTCAGGTATGGGCAGTCTGGGACGAAAGAAACGCCTCCAAGGGCGAATTTGTCGGCTACTTGTACACGGATCTCCTCATCAGACCCAACAAGCACCAGGGCTCGCAGAACGTCAATCTTCAGTGTGGGTATCTCAGAGCAGACGGCACAAGGGTCTATCCGGCCACGATCTTGATGTGCGCCTTCCCTCGTCCAACCACAACCGGTTGCGCTTTACTCAAGCACAGCGAGATTGTGTCTCTGTTCCATGAGCTGGGCCACGGTATGCACGATCTTGTGTCGAGGACTCGCACTCTTATGGTCCATGGACACCGCATGCCGCCTGACTTCTTTGAGGTACCCAGTGTCATGTTGGAGAACTGGTGTTGGATGGCAGACGAGCTCAGGCATATGAGCTGCCATTACACCAGATTGAACCCTGAGCTTTTAGATGATTGGCGCCGAAAGAATCCGGGCCAGCCAGACCCGCCTGAGAAGATACCTGATGAGCTTCTGGGGCCTCTTGTCAGAAGCAGGAATGTGAACAGGGCGCTTTGGCTTTTGCGTCAGCTGTAAGTCATATTTCTCTTCGCTTTGCTGGGCACTAATCTGAAACTTGACAGTGCCTTTGTTCGCTTCGACATGGCTGTTCACAGCCCGGCTACCCACGAAGAATGATTGGATTTGGATATTGCGGGAATGTTCAACGACTCGATGGAGAGACTCCGACTGCTCCCGAGCCCCGACGCTGAAGACAGAGGACATCCCCAATCAAACTTTCATCATGTGGTTTCTGGAATGGACGCAGGGTACTACTCATATCTATGGTAAGTTTGTCGATACAAGAATGACTTCCCAGAGAGCTAATGTTGGCACCAAATAGCGAGGCAGTATTCGCTGCAGACATTTTTCACCACAACTTTGAGGAAAGTCCTCGCAGCCAGGAACGGTGGGAAAAGTACCGCCGCGGGATACTCGAATTTGGCGGAAGTCGTGACGAGATGGAGATGCTGGAAGAATTCCTAGGTCATAAGCCTAGTTCTGGGTACTTGTTCAGCAATCTCCAGGCCCAGACTAGATAGATCATGCGTGCCCTAATATTCAGCTGCCTTTATGACTTTGACTACATAATCGTAGCAAGAAAGCTACTTGTGTTTCTTCATTATCAAATCAGGAGAGCACTAGGACACCAAGTCAGACGGTCATATGCGGGGAAGACTTCTGATTAGCGCAGCATCAATAAAACCATCTGTTCCAGGGCTGTATTTGCGCAGGTATGAGTTAGGCCGCACAAACGCATGCTTCTTACCAGACAACGCAATCCGTTCGGAACGGTTGATATTTTCTCGAGACTCCTCTTAGTTCCCGCACAAATCCAGAGTGATTCAGAATGATTCGATGTTCATTTGTGGATGCTATCGTGGCGTGCTGAAAAGAGTGCCGCCTCCAGTGCCATACATGCAGAGACGCCACATTCCTCACGACTCCCACGTCAAGTACGTCGCCAGGCCAGCCATCGTTCCACTCATCCGCATGCTCTACCGCGTTGTCCCTCACAGCGTCTGCATTCAAATACGTTCTGAAAAGTGCGCCATATAAGCGATTGGACAACCTCGTATCGGACGACAACCAGTTTAGCAAACAAAGCATCCGTTCATTCAAATAGACCCCATCACTCACTTGGCATCAAGAAACCCTGAATTGCATCCTCACCTTCTCACCATCTACCTCATCCAAAATGCGTCACTCCACTCTCCTCACAATAGCCTTGACCGCCTTCGCAGCAACAGCGCACGGCAGGACAACGACAACAACAACCTCCTCCCCCTCCCTCCCCTCCTCCCACTCAAAAGCCCAACTCTCCTGTCTCTGCGAAGACGAAGCCTGGTCCATCGCCCGCCGCTGGCTGTCCATCTTCGACACCCCGCTCACCTCCACCAAGGCCGACCTCGCCGCCGTCGTCGCCCCAGATGTCACGAGCTACGACGACACCTTCGGGCCGCCCACGCTGAACATCGACCAGCTCTGGGACGCCATCATAACGCCGCAGAAAGCGACCACGACGAACAGCACGCAGACGCCGACGTTCCTGCTGCATTCGTGCGACCAGATTGCGTATAATTGGCAGTATGCCGCCGTTACCACGGGGTACAATTCGTATGTTTTGACTGGGCTGATTTCTGTGGATGGAGGCGATCTGACTTTGATTTTAGTACCGTGCCGTCAGAAACGCCAGTTTCGTTCACCGGGAATGATATTCTCCGCGTGGACCTGAAGACGCGGCTTATTTCTAATGCTACGTCGTGTGGGGACTGGATCCTGCTATCCCGTCAGCTGGGAAACTCTGCGAATGTCTAGACGGCCTGAGAGGGAATGGGTGAGCTGTTGACGCCGTCTTGGAAGGGCTACGTATTGTTGAAGGACAGAGACTCGAGACTTCATGTACATTCTAAGTGGATATTCTACTAATTTCACAAGTTCAACATAACAGCCAATCATTGGTCCCGGCGATGAGTCCCCAGGCCCGAAATACATCACTAACACGAGCTGGATGTGTCTCCGCGACGGCCACCTCAAGCCAGATCGTCTACTCGAAACAAGTAGGAATATTCACTTTCACTCATAGGCAGTCAAAGAACCAAACATTGAATCCAAAACGCCAAATCAATTTCTATCTAGAGCGACAATGCCCCTGACAGTTTTCAACGCCTACGCCGAGTCGATCAGCGCCTTCTCTACCCTTCTGCCGACGGTTGTGCTCCAGCCGTCAATCTTCTTGTTCCATAAGTTCGTCAGATATAATGTTACACTCATCAGAATGATCCAGCCAAGGACGTAGCCCTGTGCGCGGCCAAAATTCTCGAAGAGCCTCGGCATGAGCCAGAAGCCCAGGCTGTGAAGCACGGGGCCGTGGACAAGGTACAGCGAGAAGCTGATCCTGCCCAGGTACTGCGCCACCTGTCCTTCCAGGAGGCGGACGAGGACGGGGCTGCGCAGGATGCAGGGGAGCAGGAGAATTGCTCCCATCGACTGGTAGAACATCCAGCCGGATAGGGGGATGTAGTAGCGGGGCACAAGAGAGGAAAGGAGAACGAAACCTGGGGTCCATTCGGCCGAGGCGTCGGGATAGGAAAGGAAGTAGAGTGCCATGAACATGGTGATCCAACGGGTTGCTGTTGCGGAGATAATTCTCTGCAGGAGGGTTGCTCGGCGGCCTCGGGGGTCGCTCTTGCCGGGGTACCCGAGCGAGCCGTCGTGGGTATCAGACGCACGTCGGATGTCGATCTCGGAGAACACCATCCCACCCATGAAGGCAGCCATGTCCCAGCGTCCGAAGATCAAGCTGTAGACGGAGAGGAAGCTGCCAATGCCCATCCTCCACTTCGCCTTGATGGCCGCCGTGCCGAGCAGGAACAGGTAGATGAACATGGATCCGCGGAGCTCCATGGGGATGGTGAAGGTGTGAGGGTCGTAACGGGTGTGGTAGTGGCCAAAGTTAAAAGGGTTCGCCCACTCCGCGTAGACTCTGGTAAAGTTCTTGATGGCGTAGGTCATGTTGTCGTGTATGATGGGGTGCTCCTCCCACGAGCCGCCCATCTGGACCCAGGTGATGTTGTGGGTGGTGGTGAGGTTCTTGGCCTTTGCGGCGTCGGCCATGTCCTTCTCGGCCTGCTCCTGGGTGGATGACCTGTGCTTCCCCCAGATCTTCTCCAGGTGTCCACCCCCGGTCTTCTCCTCGCGGGGCCGCGGCTTGGTGGATTCCGCTTGCTTGAGGGTGGCGTTTGCTGACTTGTTCTCGGGCTTGAGGTCCACCTCGAGACTGTCGACGAAGCTATAGAGCATGGCTGGCATGAAGAGCTGGGACGTTTTGTTCAAGCAGAGCTGATCTGATGAGGCGGTCAAGTTGGTTAGGTTACCCAGGGTAAGCGGGGTTTGGAGGTGAAGGTATTTGGCGACACTCTTGGGGCCGGCGGCGGCAACGGTTCCGTTGATGCAGGACTCGCCGAGTTGAGGGTGGGCAAAGGTGACGGTGCCGTTGATGTAGGCCGAATCAGGCCCCTTGAAGATGGCGTTCTCGGACCTGAAGGCACCCATCTGAGCCAGCAAGGCTACCAAGGCCATGCTGATGGTAGGCGGGATGTAGAGACGGAATACACGCCTCAGGACGGACGATGCGAGGCTTTTGTAGGCGGCCTCGACACGTCGTTCGTGGATGGCCCTCAAAATATGCCTGCAGAGCACAAAACCGGAGATGGCGAAGAAGATGGCGACCATGGGGCGTCCGCGATGCAGCAAGCAGATGATGGGCAATTGGTGCCATCCAACGTAGGGCTCAGGAGCTCCTGGGGGAAACGCGCCGTTTCCCAGCATGATGAAGGGCGTCCATGGCCAGAAAAAGTGGTAGTTGAAGACGATTAGACAGGCGATGCCGCGGAGACCGTCGAGAGACCTGATCTTGTCCCTGTTCCTCCTCGAGTCCGCGCCCTGGGCCTTTTGCTGCTTCTCGTCGTCGCCCTCGCGCCAGTCGTGGCCATCCTGCTCGGTCCTCGGGAGGAGCTCCGTCTCCTGCTCGCGGCCCCTGTGCGCCCGCGCAGACTTGTCCCAGACGTTGTTGATCATGGTGATGGCGTCTGTTGGAGCGGTCTTGCTCGGGCGGAAGAGTGCACTCGCGGGGGCATGCGAGTGCAATTAAATGTGCGTGAGTGAGTGAGTGAGTGAGTGAGTGAGTGTATTTGAGTCAATCGCCTGGCCGTGGAAAAAAGAGAGTTTGGGCGAGTTGAGATGACGGCCGGGGGGGATTGAGACGACGCGACGAGTGACAATTGGGATGATGAGACAGGACGAACGGGATCTGCGACGCGCAGTTCGAGTCTTAAAAAGGACACTTCGCAGTGCTCCTCAGCAATGCTGTGAGCTGTGCTGTGCAATGCAATGCAACAAGTCAGGGGCTCACACTTGCCGCCGCCTCTCCACTCTTTTACCTGAGGCAACGTCCAGTCCAAAGTGACCAGTGTCCAGTGAGTGTCCAGTTACTAGGTGCAGTGCAGTTTGTCCAGTTTCCACAGTTCAACGGGGAGAGCAAGGGCGCCCCTGGATCGGTTGCATCATGGCTGCTCCGATCCTCCCGCGGCAGTGATCGACGCGCAATAAACCTGAAATTCCCAGCTTTTTTTATATTGGGGGGAAAGGCCCATAAAATGCTGCTGCTGCTGCTGCTCCCCCCAGGCCCAGCGCCCCCACGGCCCACGGCTGACGGAACGCGTGGTTGTCTTCTGTGGTCGCAGTGTCGCCATCTGACCTGATTCGACCCTGAAAGTCTGGCCCTCTGCGGTGTTGCTTTAGATAGACTTTTGCATTGAGCTGAAGAACGCGTCGCTGCAACGTGTTGAAAGAGTCTCCAGAAATACCGTCGCAATTCGGACGACGGGAGAGGCAACATGGAGTGTGGCAGCAAGCCGCCTCAACCGCGCACTAATTGACGCCTGCGCTGCGGTCATTCGGGATTCAGAGTTTCCGCCCAACACCAACAGGCACATCGGACAATGACGATACGCTCTTCTCACACAACACAGCCCGGCAACCATCTGACTGCGAAACACCACTAAGCCTTGTACTAATCAATCTGGCCATCAACTTGAACCGATAACAGTCCGAAGAATTACATCCTACACCAAGTACGGATATAACAAGACCAATCGCAACTGACGATTTACGTGTTCCCTCTTCATCCGAACTATGCCTGATCCATGTTCGACAATTGCCTCTTCGTGCCTTTTCCCCCTTTCATCCATCGCCAACAGTATTGTTTTCGGTCATGGGCCTCTACACCAGCGTGCTCTGGTGAGAAACGCCTTCGTTTCTTTTTCATGCCCACGATCCGCCTCAATTAAGCCGCAATTTCCCCCAACGGCTCGGCTCGTAATTAGTAACACCGAATTAAGCGGGTGAATCTTCCGGGTTTTGTTTGCGTCGTCCCGTGGCGCTGTTCACAACACGCAAACATTCATCCGTAATTTCATCTCTCGTGTGATCATCCGATCGGCAAACGATCGCATCTCGAAAAGGAGCCTCATCTACACCT